TTTAGGATGATTATTAATATATGAAAATTTTCTATAGCAATTAGTAAAGCACTTTTAATGATTTTTACAAGTATCTAAGCTACTGCTAAACCAATTTTATTTCCACTAGTTGGAAAAACTTAAGTATTATTTAATATTACAAATTTTCATACTTGAAATCTTAATATAAGAAAAGAAACACACTTCCAAATTAACACAAACACATTTTTTAAAAGTTTTTAATTAAAAAAAGTAAAACTGTAGACGATATTTAAAAAGACAAGACAATAATTAAATCATAATACTTATGTTCCTTTTAATTTGCTATAATTCCTTTTCTTTAGAGTATTTTTTAATGGTATTTTCCCAAACAAAATTACTAAAAAAGTTTTCCAACATAAAAAAATGCATTCAGGGTCTCCTTGAGAGCTGCAAACAATGGGTGCACTTTTCAGTAACAACACAAACTTGTAAAACTGAGGAAGCAGCAACTGCATCTGATCCTTACGTGTTCATGCATCTTGTGATACAAACACAAGTGCTTGATCTTGAAGGCTCGAGAAAATAATCCAGGACAAATATCTCTGTTTGTCAGAGTAATCTCATCAGCTTTAAATTCCAGCACTGCAATTGTGAAATGCCATGACATAGGTTTCACTACAATTCAACTCACAGACAACAACAAATGCTAGCTCCTTTAAAAGCATGATGGTGGTGTATGCATGTGTGTGTCTCTATGTCTGTATTTTGTGCTTTTTAATTTTTAGAAAGTTATCATAAGGATTTGATCTAATGATTAAACTTAGTCCTGCCTTTTACAGGGATCCTCAAAGTCTGTCATTCTGCCACTAATGCCAAGAAAAGCAAAATGAAAAAGAGGAAGATGAAAAAGTAGACAAACAAAAAAGATTCCCTACCATTCTATTAAGTGTGAATATAATGATTTGCACTCCCATGCAATTAACCATTTTTCTGAATTCATATATTGCTGAATTCAGCCATGAGATCATGTTCATTTTGGTTTATCTAATACATCCAATTTACCTTTTTTTGTATAAGTCTCAGGCAATATTTATATATTTACTTAAATTTTGTAGCTATGAATAAGGTATTTATGGTTTGTTTTATGAAATCATAACTGCAATAAGATAAATATTCTCAAACTGCTATGAGTTTGTCTAAATGCCCATTTCAATCATAAATTCAGAGGTCAATGGTGGGTAAGAGGGACATATATACTTTCAACAATAAAGATAAGAAAAATAATAAATTCAGTAAAAGTCACAACAATTTGCAATGGAAGCATTGAAAATATGATAGAAATCTTAGATACATACTAAAGCTTGGAGCATTATACCCTACATGCTAAACTGTCATTTTGGAAGTTGAAGGAAAACTTAAGTAGATTTTCTAGCCAGTTAAGTTTTTAAATATTGGAATTTTCAAAGTAAGTCACAATTTCTGAGATTTATATTGGAAAAAAACTCAGCAAGAAAAACATTATCAGCATTTATAGTTACCCAGCTAATGACCATCTCAATCTCAATGCATACAAAAATACTGTCACATTTTGCTCTCAGAAAGTGTTCTTTCATTCTCCAGTTTAACTCCATAGTCATGTGCACTAAACAGGACTTTATCTTTTTTAAAAATATATATATTTTCTTGATTTTTTACAGAGAGGAAGGGAGAGGGACAGAGAGTTAGAAACATCGATGAGAGAGAAACATCAATCAGCTGCCTCCTGCATAGCCCCCATTGGGGATGCGCCTGCAACCAAGGTACAAGCCTTTGACTGGAATCGAACCCGGGACACTTGAGTACGCAGGCCGACGCTCTATGCACTGAGTCAAACCACTCATGGCACTAATCAGGACTTTAAAGGAGATTGAGCAGCCTGACCCGGTTTGCTTCAGTGGATAGAGCGTCCGCCCTGCGACCTGAAAGTTCCCAGGTTCGATCCCATTCAAGGGCATGTACCTGGGTTGCGGGGCACATCCCCATTGGGAGGTAGCAGGAGGCAGCTGATGGATGTTTCTCTCTCATTGATGTTTCTAACTCTCTATCCCTCTCCCTTCCTCTCTGTAAAAAAATCAATAAAATATATTCAAAGGAAATGAGCAGAGGAGAGGAGAAGACAAGTCTCATGCCTTTGCATACAGATATTCAATGTGGCATGCTAGGCAACATTCCCTTTGGCAGGCTACAAACTGAATGTTTAGGAGTTCAGTGAATTAAAATTTGTAATTATCAAATTTTCAAGGCACCAACGTAGTAGTTTTCTGGGAATTATCAAAGGCAGAAAACATACTGCCTCATGATAACATCACAACTATAGAAAATAAGAACTTCAGGTAGCAGGGATTGGAAGAGCAAATTTTCTCTAAATTCTCTACAAACTATCTAAAATTTCAGCATTTAGCAAAAGGATTCCAAGGCAGAAAACCAAACTGTGGGGAACCGATATAGGGTTGAGCCTCGGACTGACCTGCTGGCAAAGTCACAAACAAGTCCCAGCTTAGAGGGCTCAGTCCTCTTAGCATAATTAGGCTTGACCTTATAACACTCCCCAGATCTTACCTGGGAAGCTAATGGGCTGAGGGAAGTGCAGGGAGTGTAACTATGGTCAAAATAGGTGAAACTCACAAGAACTGTGTAACTATGGAAACCACTGCCTTGTTTACCTATGACTATAAAAGGTCAGTGCGGCCTGAGCACCAGGGGAAGTCCTTCCTCTTGAGTTGGACTTACACGCCTGGCCCCCCAATATTCCCAAATTATCTCTTGTCTTTTCTCTTTCATTTGTGTGCGGCTCCTCTTCCAGATCCTGAACCCTGAACCACGTGGGACGTAGAGGGAAACATTTACAACACCAAACCAAATTCTAAGGTTTTACATTTTAATAATGCATCATTCTAGAATGTTCTTGGAGTTCTATGACTGACCTTTGCTGGAAATTCTATTCTGAATGTTAAGACCAGAACCAATAGCTGAGAGTTCTGGGTAAACTTGGTTCTCATAAAAGAAAAGGCATTGCTATATTCAGAGTCTTTTTAGCAGATTATTTTGTGGGACTTGCCAAAGGAAGAAAGGGACTTCTTTAGATCTGTGCTCCACCAACAAATCTGAGTGACATTGTGGGTTTACTGGCCATGCTGAACAAACACAAAGAAAATGAGAATGGAAGTCAGGAAACCAAGTTCACATCCTGGCTCTTCCACTAAAACCCTATTTGTGGATGTATAGGATGCATTTTCCCCATCCAAAGACAACCCCAAAATTGTCCCATACCCTTTAGCTATAATGAATGATACCACCTTTAGTGGCAAAATGAGAAAACAAAATACAACAACAAAGAGACAAGTTTCACATCATAATGGTATTTCCTTAACAGAAATAATAAACCATGAGCCATCCAATAGATCAAAGAGAAAATATGAGCTATTACTCTAACAATTTGGATTTAAATTTGTTACTACCATAATGGTACCCCATACCAATATTGATCAATAGTTATATATTTCTTTGCAGTGCAGAGATTTTCATATTTTTTAAGGATAAGACTTTTTCTGCTAATTATAAAACCTATGATGTTCTACTGGATCCCCACATATAAGATACCATGTTATATTAACAAAATAATATTTTTAATTTTATACTTTCAGATTGTTGTTTATATATAATGAAAAGCAGTTAATATTTTTGTTTCGAAGTATTTCTTGTAAAACAGGGTGTTACAATTTACTTATTTGCCCAGTAGAGATAATACAGGTACCTACTAAGTTCACAGGGCTGTTGCATACATCAAGGAGATCATTTATGCAAGTTTTCTGAGATAAATAAAGCATTATGCACAACACCTATATGCTGAAACCAGTTATATGAGTAACTAGAGATTAAGTCAGTTCTCCTTGGGGAATAGACTATAGAACTTCCCATACTATAGCTAAGCAGTAAGATCTGGTTCCTTGACTAAAAGCTGGGTAACCCTAGAGAGGGGAAAAATATTAGAGACCTTTCTAAGACTGGTAGAAAGTTAAATTTCCTTACCAATGAATCAGCTGCATTATTTATGTTGTGCAGATTAAATTCAAAGTTGCCCAAAAGTTTAAAGAAAAGAGGAGGCCACACATACTAATGATGTAAGAGATCAAATGTTCTTGTCTGTGAGCAAACACAAAATTCTATCTCTTTGCTAAACAAACCCTTCAGGTTTAACACAATTAGTCAATTTTCTCTCAAAAGCTGTGGTTGCATAGACACTTCTTATGATTCAGTCTTCCACAATTTAAGTAAGTTTTCTTAGAAAAGCAACCCTAGATATGGTTCATTCTTTAACACTGCCCAGATAGCTGAAATCTAAATGCTTCTCCCAGATGTATTTTAAATATAGCTCTGTAAACATAATCATTTTGTCAACTTTTTAGTTTCTTACATAAAAAGCTCAATATACAGGCCAGCTTTTACTCAGACTACCTGTTTTAGATATGTGATACAATGGGAAAGATAACCAGCAAGTAAAGATAGAAATTGTGGTGAAAAAGTTGGAAGGAACTACATTAAAATAGCAATCTTTCTCACTGGCTGGTAGGATTATGGCTAATCCAATCTTGATTTTGGTTCACTGAACTATATTATCTACAAGTTTTTAAAATTTGTTTTACAACAAGCATGTATTACTTTGATTACAAAGCTGTGGAAGAGCCAATTGCATAGAAACAGTTGTAGGAATCCAGGATAAATATATCACCTCAGCCCAGCTGGGATGGCTCACTGGTTGAGCGTCGACCCATGAACCAAGAGGTCACTGGTTTGATTCCCAGTTAGAGCATATGCCCGTTATGGCTCTATCCCCAGTAGAAAATGTGCAGGTGGCAGGCAATCAATGACTCTCATTATTGATGTTCCTGTCTTTCCCTCTCTCCAAAATCAATAAAACTATATATAATGATATATAATGATATATAATGATATATAATGATATATATATATATATATATATATATATATATATATATATATATATCACCTCAGATGCCACTGATACTGTTTCAGACACTTACAGGAATTGAAAGTCTAACAAAAGTTCCTTTTTCACAGCTAGCTCAACCTAAACAATGTTAAATGAGTAATAACATATTTTTTAAAAATAATAAGAGAGATAAATAGCATTTTACAAAAAAAAAAAGCCTACTTTCTTTATAGGGCAACTAATTTAGCAACATTTTACAAAGCTTTTAAGAGTCAATTGTCAGGGAGCACCATTAGATATTCACACAGAAATGGCCCAGGCAGCTTAGAGACGACTCTTCCTCATCGGTGAGATACCTGATTAACTGCAACAAGATGAAACACTCAGCGCATCTGGTTGGGGCCAACATGCATGATGACATGCTTCTCATAGGCCCTTTTCATTGTTTTCTCAATTTGCTTCAGAAACACTTGTGGGATTCGTCCACATAAAGTGTGTACAGTTTCCAAAAACTTCAACTGAAGAGGGTAATACATGGATTGAAAGAGATTGTCTTGAAAGGGAAACTGAAAGAAAGAAAAAATTTATTTTAGTTACTAAAATGGTATTTAAAATGCAAATAACTTTTACTAAGAAATGAAACAGGAAATTACTATAAGCATGCAGGCACAGTTTGTATATACATGGTAAAAAGGCCTCTGAGGACCCAGGGTCAAATCTTTATTCAATTCTGTGCAATCCCAAGCAATCATTAACCCATTCATGGCCTCAGTTTCTTTACCTAAAAAAAAAAAAAAAAAAAAAGATAATGTACTTGGGTCCTTAAAGCTCTTAAAATCTAAAAGCATGCTCTTGTAAGACTCAAGTAGATACTTAATCTACTATAATAAAACAGAAAATTCTTCATAATTTTTGCCTTTATAGTCCAGAGTTTAGCAATTATTGCTAACATTTATTAACAATAAACTTCATTTTAATAATTCAGATACCAAATATTAGTTGGTGGTTACTTCCCTCTTACTATTAAGGTTTCAAAAAATTTCTCTTGTTTTACCATGGAATATGTCCAGGAGCATTATTTTCTAAAATAAAAATTTCAGATCATTTAGTTATAACCATGTGTCAAAGTTTTATTACAATACTAGAGGCCCTGCACCCTCTCCAATCTGAGACTTCTTGGGGGATGTCCGACTGCCAGTCAGACATCGTCTCACAATCCAGGACTGCTGGATCTCAACTGCTCGCCTGCCTGCCTGCCTGATTGCCCCTAACTGCTTCCGCCTGTCAGCCTGACCACCCCCTAACCACTCCCCTGCCAGTCTGATCGACGCCTAACTGCTTCCCTGCCAGCCCCGTCGCCCCTAACTGCCCTCCCCTGCTGGCCTGGTCGCCCCTAACTGCCCTCCCCTGCTGGCATGATCGCCCACAACTGCCCTCCCCTGCCGGCCATCTTGTGATGACATGGGCACGGCCATCTTGTTACCACGTGGGGGCAGCCATCTCGTGCAAGGGCATGATGGTCAATTTGCATATTACCTCTTTATTATATAGGATTGTTGAAAGGGAAAAGGCCTCTAGTAACTCAAGTTAAAGATTTATTGTTGGGAAGGACATTTTATACAAAAAAAAAGCCAGAGAAATGAAAGGAAGAAAAGAATGGTGAAAGGTCAGTGTGCTCTTGAGTAGGCGAGTGTCTGGTTCCCTACAACAAGCTTCAATCCCTTTAAAGTTCATCAGAATTATTACTTAATCATGTTTAGCAGAAATTAAATTTTTCCAAGAAGGAGGCTAAACATTATGTGATACAAAATGGTTCTGTCCAAAACCATATTTAGGACACTTCCTTTTTTCCAAAGAACAATTTAGACCATTGATGAATTCCTTTCACCACTGTATCCCCAGTGACAGAAACAGAGTAGGTCAAAACTATGTAGTCATCCTTAATTCCTCCCTTTCTCTTACATTCTTCAGCCATTCCATCAGCAAGTGCTGTAACTCTGTCTTGATAACATATCCCAAACATGCCCACTTCTTCCCATCTTCCTGCTATCACACAAATGCGTGCCAGCCCCATCTCTCACCTGGATGGCTTCAATAAGTCTCATTAAAGAGCCATTGTATTTTCACTCTTGCACCCTTTCCACCAAGTTACCAATGTGATATTTTTAAAGTATAGATCAGAGCGTATAATTTTCATGCAGGGGCTTTTCACTGCAGTTAGAATAAGAGTCCAACTCCTCTCTTGTCCTAAAGGTTCCATGTGACCTAGAACTCTCCATGCTCATCTCCTCTCTCCTCTTGTTTCATCATCCTGCTCACTATTGCTACTTCCATGTCCTTTGGGAGCATCAACTCATTCCTGCCTTGCTGCCTTTCACCAGGTTAATCCTTCTACGTAGCAGTATCTTTCCCCAGACGTCCCCATAGCTGCTTCCATCTGATCATGCCTCAGGCTTACATAAGCCACCCTGAGGATCCTAGCTCATCAACTCTCCTCTTTACCTGTGACTCGGTCCCTCACCCTGCCCTGGTTCCCTTTTGTTACCTCATACTATCTGATAGAATTTTTAAATTTTTATTGTTCATGTGAGTATTATCTGGCTTCCCCTACCCAAAATACATGCTTCATGAGGACAGGGCTTTGTCAGTCTTGTTAGTTCTGACTTCCCTAGAGCCTAGAATTGTTCCTGCATAAAATAGGTTCTTCTTAGATGATTGTTGAAAGGATTACTGAAAGAATGTATATCTGATAGATGAATTTAGTTGGATCATGATGGGAGGAGATTGCACTTCCTTTTTACACAAACACATATACACCAGATTAAGGAGTGTGTGTGTATGTGTGTGTGACAGAGGAGAGGGAGAGAGAGAGAGAGAGAGAGAGAGAGAGAGAGAGAGAGAGAGAAAGGGAGAAGGAACAGAGACAGGAAAAATATTTTCAAAGACAAATGTGAAAGGAGAGAAGTATGGTGAGATAGAGAAAGAAAGGTAAGAAAAGAAAGCAAGTGAGAAAGTGTAAGCAATGTAGGGAAAGAGATAAGTGTGAAACTGTTATCATCAAAAAAATTTCTAATTATTAAGCACAACCATATGTGAGGCATACTGTAAGTTTAAAGACCATGATTTGTTGAAATCTCATAACACTGTTATGAGGCATGTAATATTATCTCCATTTCACAGATGAGGAAACTAAGGCCCAGAACTGGAATAGCACAGAGTTAATGACTAATAACCAGAAAGTGACCAAATTTGGACCTGAACCCAGGTCTGTTAATCCACAAAGACAAGCCCTGACCATACTTATCTGTGATGCACAGCACTGTGGAGAGTCGGGAAATACATATTTTATAATGTAATCTGCCTATATTTACTCATATTTCAGGATGGGTTTAGTGATATTCTGATCGAAAGGCTTGAAAGAAAAAGCCTTTTTTTGATCCACCAGAAAACAAATAAGATGCATTGTAACTACAGAATCAAACTTGATCAGTTCCAAACCAGGGATGACAGATCACAAATGAAATCTGAGAATGGCTCTGATGTACACATATCTGCTGAACACCTCTTTATATGCCACTGTACTCCTGAATGAGCTTGCCCCTGGAGTCAGTGTTTAAATATCTAAGTATGATAATATCACTAAGTACAAAACAAATTTCCTATGTATGCAAATCACCTGGCATTTGCAAACCAACAGCTGGAAAAAATAGGAAAAGAGGTGTTAGCTATGGGCATTCAAAACTCTCTGCACAGAAGATAATTCTGGGAAATTTTGAGCTGGAATTCTCTGGGAATCTCCTTATTGAAATGTATATTTTCACATAGGAGAAATGTGTTATTATATTACAGGATTCACCCTCCACCTCACTCCTGCCAAAGCCAGCACATGAACCTGGGGAAGATTCCTCAATCGTAACAGAAAAAAAACACCCTCAAATAAAGTCTACATGCTTTAAGTCAGGGGGTCAACAAACTTTTCCTGTAAAGGGCTAGATAGTAAATATTTTAGACTTTGTGGACTATATGATCAGTCACTACTACTCATTTCTGCCATTGCAGCATGAAAGCAACCACAGACAATACATTAATGAATAGTTGCCACTATGTCCCAATGCTACTTTATTTATAAATGCTGAAATTTGAATTTTATAAAATTTTCTCATGTCCTAAAATATTATTTCTATTTAAAAATTATTGGATAGCCACAGGGAAATGAGAAAAAATTGAAAGAGAGTAAAAACAATCAAGCAAACAAACAAAAATTCCTAACTCACATATCTTACAAACACTGGCAGAAGGCTAGATTAGGCCTAAGTTTGGTAACCCCTACATTATGTCTTGAAATTGTCAATGAAATTAAGGGAAGAATAGATTAAGTCAGTGAGAACTTCAACAAAGAGGCAATAAATTTTAAAAAGACATGGAAACCATGAAAAAGAACTAGTCAGAATGAAGAATGAAATAACAAATGAAAAATACACTAAGAGAAATCAATAGCAAATTAGATAAAGCAGAGGATTGAATCTGCAATTAAAAGACAAAGTAGTGGAAAACACCAACTAGGAACAACAACAACAACAAATAATTTTAAAAAATGAGAATAGTTTAAGGAATATTTGGGACAACATCCAGGGTAACAACATTTGCAGCATAGGAGTACCAGAAGGAGAAAAGAGAGAAATAATAACTGAAAACTTTCCTAACCTGGTGAAAGAAATAAATATATAAGTCCAGGAAGTGCAGAGAGTCCAAAAAAAGATAGACAAAAAGAGGCCAACACTATGACACATCATAATTAAAATGCTAAAAGATAAAGACAAAGAGAGAATCTTAAAATTAGCAAGAGAAAAACATTTAGTTACTTACAAGGGAGCTCCCATAAGACTGTTAGCTGATTTCTCAACAGAAACTTTCCAGGCCAGAATGCACTGGTACAAAATATTCAAAGCAATGAATATTCAGAGTGACCTACAATCAAGATTACTCTACCTAGAATGGCTATCATTTAGAATTGAGGAAGACATAAAGAGCTGAGGAAGACATAAAGAGCTTCTCAGAAAAGAAAAAGCTAAAGGAGTTTATCACCACTCAACCAGTATTAGAAGAAATGTAAAGAGCACAAATATGAATAATAAATAGCAAAAACTATATACCTATCAATAATCACTTTAAATATAAATGGATTAAATACTCCAATCAAAGACATGGGGTAGATAAATAAATAAGAAAACATGAACCAGAAGTATGCTGACTAAAAGAGAACCATTTCAGATAGAAACATAAACACAGAGAGAAAGTAAATGAATAAAAAAAGATACTTCATGTAAATGAAAACAACAACAAAAAGCTGGTCTAGCAATGATATCAGGAAAAATATACTTTTAAAAAACTATGAGACAAACAAGGAGATTTCTTAATGATAAAGGGATCAATTAAACAAGAGACTATAACTCTAATAAACATTTATATACCTAACAAAGGAGCACCTAAATTTATAAAGCAAATAGTGACAGATATAGAGAGAGATAGATAGAAATACAGTAGTTGTAAGGGACTTAACACCTCA